ATAAAATGTTGCCTCGCTCCCCGCTCTCCGCTCCCCACAACCAGATAAACCACAGCAGCCCCAGCTCGCCTTGCTGCCTTCTCCTCGCCAGAGTTACTCGGATGTCTGGGCCGGTCCATGGCTGCATTTTTGTTTTGGTCTGTGCGGAGTAAACAATGCACCAGCAGCAGTCCAGCTGGAGGAGCAGTCGGAGGGGGAGAAGAGACTGTGGATCCCCACCACATGCCAGATGAGTCATGGAACTGTGGAAGTAAAAGCTAAAGTGGCGGGGTTTTTGTGCTAAAAGAGCTGAGGAAAGTTAACTTATTTGAAATACTTTATATTTTATATTTATTAATTTTCTGTTTTACAAGTTTGATGACAGCCAAAGGGTTATCTTTCACTACCCTTTAAGTATCCTTATCCTTAATAATAAAGCTCATATAATAAGCAACCATTTTAAGAACTTAAGTATTTACTATTAGTACCCACTGTACCCCTGCCAAGTTTGTCTTGCCAGTCGGAAGTTTGTGAAGTTTCCACTGTCTATTCGCAGACATCTTCCCCCTGCCCCGCAGTCCGGACTGCTGAAGTCCATCGAAGATGTGGATATTCCGCATCTGTTGATGCTGCGGTCCCTGGGCAGCGTCATCTGCAACTCATCATTTTCTGAAATATTGCTCTTTTGCATACCTGAAGCCTGAAGTTTTCCTTTTTTGAGGGGTTAACAGAACTTAATTCCGAGCGATCAGACGGAGAAGGAGGAGACGCTGAGAGGATTTCAATCAACTGGCGGACGCCACCGCAGACATAATTTATTGCCACTTTTCGCATCGATTTTCATTTCTTGCATTGATGTTTTCCTTAAGTGTTTCCTCTCCTCCCTCCCAAGGAGCCGATAACGCAGGGCGGAGCTAATTGATTGCGAGATGCTCCAGGAATCGGGATGGGAACTGCTCACCTCGCCGGGCGAAAGTTAATTGGCCTGGTCCAGACACTCGGCCATGGAACGCAAACACAGGTACTTGCCAGCCACTTAAGTGCGCTTAATTAATGCAAACCGAATCCCAATTGCAATGCCAGCAGATTCCGGGTCGCATTAGATGCGCATCGGGGGTAACAAGCGCGTCGCCTGTTCTTGGCCAGAATCTCTGGGCCAGCAAACCACTTAATCGAGCTGGCGGAGGGGGCGGCCAAGTGTTGTGCAATTCCCGCCTGTTTTTCCAGCCTTCGAACTGGGAAATTCTCTTACTTAGGGAGTAGTGTGTTTTGTGGAAAAAGTAGAGACTTTTCTTCTGATATGAACATTAAATTTTTGTGGAAAAACTTAAATGATTTTCATTGATGGAGAATAGATGAGATACCCATGCCATATATCTCACAAAGAGCATTAAGCCTTCGACTTGAGCCAAGAATTTTCCTGCGTGGGATGTTGTTTTCTGGCTGTTGAATGTTTAGCGGTGGTTGTCAAGTGACATCGTCACTGACTTTTGGTGGGCAAAGTGGGCGCAGGCGTCGGAGGAGTCGCCAGTCTGGATTATCCTTTGTTGGGCATCGACAACTCCGCCACGCAAGGAGCATGGAACATGGAACCACTTCGTGTTGGATTTCTTGTTTCTACTCCACCCGCACTGAGCCACGCACTTTTTTCACTCGCCCAGCTTAATTGCGAGGTGTTCAAGTGAACTCTGATTGCTGCTCCTCCAACTCCTCCAGCTCCTCCAGATTCCTCTCCAGCTTTTTCGATGGCGTTAATTGGGCAGCCCGAGCAGCAGCCGGCGAAACATTTGCTGCCACTTTGATGCCCTGCCGATGATACTCCGGCGAACTGCGACTTCAACAAGCTGCAGTCCCGAAAATTTGCATTTCAAGCAGCCCGCGATTTATGGCCCAGTCCGATGGATAGAGGGGTAGGGAGATGCTGTGACGAATCCAATTATGAGGCGCGCCAGCTGGAGGATCCGGGAAGTGGGAGGGGGCACTGCGGGCCCTGACGGGTGCCATGTGCCTGATGCGATAATGCGCCATCAAATGGCCATAAATAAAGCGCACAAAGCGGATTAAGCGTTTTGTTAACAGATTTATATTGAGCTGAATTATGAGCCGGCGGCGGGTTGAGATTTAATGAGTCCCTCTTCGGGAGATGCCAATGAGATTGGGATTAGGGTCCCTGGTCCCTGGGATGTGGGGTGGATTCTTAGAGGGAAAGTCTTTCAAGAAGAGCCCCTTCTCTCTCCTTGGCAAAATCTTTAATAAGAAGTTCGGCAGATAGCAAGAGCAATGGCCGAGCTTTCTCTTCATAACTCATATGAATGTAAATTAGATTTAGTATTTATCTGCAAACATTCCCAGGAACTTAACACAAATGAACAAAAATAAAATAGATTCCCATGTGTTTTACTTCTCAGGCTGCCAGTATGGAATCCCTGCCAGAGTTCCTGTCACTTGCACTCCGATTTGGTCGTTTCCATAGTTACTGGAGCTTTGCATTCCGGGCCGGAGGAGAATATGAATTAGAATCGATGGCAAATGCCAAGCGAGACTTTATGCAGATACTTTTGATAAATTCATGAGACCTTCGGATGGCAAACAAAGTGAATGAACACCGAAAGTTGCAACACAGTTTTGCTGAACGAATGCCAAAAAATATTTATGCTGCAAATTCGAGCTGTTATCGATTCGGGGACATGCATATTGCATTTGTTTCTGCTTTTTCCGTTTTCCCACCCTTTTTGTTTATCGAATTTAAGTGCTCCCCAAAGGGGCTGTGTCATTCTGGGATGTGTTTGTCTATGCTTTCGGAGGGGGGGACAGGAAGATGGAGTCCCTGGCCAGAAATTACAGCCACCGAAAAGCAAGGCGGCCCACAAAAAAGCACCAAAAACGAAGCACATAAAAAACTGAGCTCCAAATTGCCCCCGAGGGCAGGCAATGGCAAATTGAGGCTGCCGCTGAAGAAGCCGCCTCACCTGGCCGACGGTACCTGGTGGGATCATCCTCCTCATCAGTCGATCGACGACGAGTGGCAGCCTCGTGCTGAGCCTCAGAGCCTCCAAAGGGACGTCGGCATTTGGGCTGAGCGTCGAATTAAGCAAATTATGGTGGGCCCCAATGATCGATCCGAAATGCGGCCCCCTCTCCACCGCCGCCCCTGACCCCACGGCAGATGCTGCAATTTGCCTTAATGCCCAGGATTATGTTGCAAGTTCGAACTTCGCAGCGGCTGCGAAAGCTGCAAACTGTTGACTCTTTTTTTGCGGTGTCCACTCAAATTGGCGCATGTAAATTTTTGCGTCTGCAAAAGTCGCTGACCCATTGGGTCAGGCATATGGGCTGGCAAGTGGAGTTGGTTTGGCATGTTTATAAGTTTGTTAAATCTTAAATATTATATCTTATTTAGTCAAAGATTATTTAAGATTTGTTCAAGGAATAAGTTGTACTTCTAAGGGAAATCACTCACAAAACCTATAAGTAACTAACTTTGCTATCCATGATCCTGTGTAGGGAATCCCTTGACCAACTTCCTCTAGACTCATACCTCGATACCCATCATCCGTTCCTGCTGCTGGTGCTCTGACTCCTCCCAGTGCTCCTTATTTCGCCTGACGCTGACATTTGTGTGTGCGCTAAAATATATTTTTTGAATGCAGATTTTTCACTTAAAATTATTTCAATTACGCCAAGTGCAGGCCAAGGAGCCAAGCATCCAGGCAGCCAGTCAGCCCAGTCAGCCCAGCCAGCCAAGGAGGATTGCGACTTGGCTTTTTTGTCGACTTGTCCTCTTCCCCGAATGGCAGCTGCTGCAGTTCAGTTGTCGCTTTCGGAACTTCAGCTGCAAGTAGATTAAATGCCACAACCGCAAACAGACAAACTTGGTCAATTATTTTCAACGGCGGACACAAATTATTGATGCAGGCCCATCCCGACCCGCCTCCTGCCTTCTGCCTCCTGCCAGGAGTTTTAAAAGCTACCCGGACCAAACCGCATCATCAATCTGAGGGAGACTCGGTCGACGACGTCGTCTCTCCCCGAGTGAGAGAAACGGAGACAATGGACCCACTGCCCTGCCTCCCGCCTTTCTCGCAAAAGGTCTTCATTAAATTAGTGAAATGAGCAAGTCGTCGAGGATTCAGCTGCAACTCAACTGAAGGAGGCGCACTCTGAGAAATTAGGCATCGCATAACGTTGGAAGTGCACTTTCCAACTTACAGATTGATACCTGAAGAAGACAATCTTTAAGTTCGCCTTATAAGTTCTTTAAAATTTCTCTCACTGCACCTCTGAACCTCTTAAGAGGTTGTTTCATTGAGGAACCTCCGAAGGTTCGCATCTGCGAGCAGCCGCAGTTAATGTCACAAATATTTGTTGTCAACTGTCAATTGAGTTGGAGGCAGTACGAGGCCCGATTCCAGGCGATTGGAAGCGAGGCAACTGGTGACGACTTAACGAGATCCCCTTTGCTCCTTCACGATCACAGATCCCTCCACTTCGATCTGCGATTGAGGAATCGCAAATGGCTTGCTAAATTGGCTCAGCCGGCTGGGTGGGTCGAATGTTCGATTGAACCATCAATGTCTCATCAAAATGCACTCGGATTTGGGTGGTGCTGTGGCTAGCAGTCGGCGGGCAAGGGAGTCGGGGCCAAAACGAATGTGGCTTGCAGCTATTGAATTACCAACACATCCAGTACAAGTTTACAATTTCATTTTCGGGCAATGCGAAATCCAAAACCGAAAATAATAGAGTTCCCCCCGGAGTTTCGACCCCTCTCTTTTTGGCCATGGCTAATGGGGCCAATGAGGCAATGGTAGAACCAAAGCTGATGGCTAATTTCTGTTTTTGTTTGTTATTAATTTCTGGCTCGGCCTCCCTCAGTGTTGGCTTATTGATTGCAGCTGTTTCAGCCGTTTGTGGTGCTAGCCTGGGTCGCAGTTTTGGCGCAGTTTTTCCCTCAGATTGGAAGGGAAATGAAAAACAAATTTACCCCGAGGTAACCCCATATAAAACACAATCATAGGCACTCTTTGGTTTAGTAATTTATTAAGTTAGTATATTTGGATATATGTTAGGTCTTTAAGCTCCGGTTTGGCATTAAAACTAAGTAGGCGACTCAATGGAGGAGTCCGTCGATCAGATAGCAGCCCAAACCCGATCCTAAGTCTTTGAGGTGAGCCAGGCTCAGTTCTTGAAAGGCCCTCTCCGTTCTCCGCTCCTTTGGCATTGGCATAAGATAAAAGTTGGGTCCTACGAGCTAAGAGTATTTTGAGCGATCCCGCCGGGATTACAGGGTATGGGTATCCGATAGATATGTCATTTGAGCACGCTGTCCTGGGGAAGGTCTTACCGACTAGTGACTAGACTAAGGCATAAGAGGAGACATGTGAGCGGGGTGCAGTCTTTGGCTCCTGCCTCGGATCATCCCATTCCGAGGTCCTTCATCAAGTGCTGCCTGATCACCTGACCCTCCTCCTCGGCCAGCAGTTGGGCCGTGACCGTGTTGATCAGGTTGAAGGCGATTCCGAAGGCGCTGAATACGCACCATACACCCAAAGCCAGCCAACGAAGAGGGCGTGGACGCAGTCCCCCATCCAACTGACGGAGGAGCAGCAGACCAACGCTGATCCCAGCCAGGGCTCCGGTCATGTGGGCGATATAGGAGACGGATGGTCGTGTCTGCTGCATGGCCAGTTCTCGGGAGTAAAGGGCATAACCCAGATCGCAGAAGACTAAAATCGAATTAAAATCAAAGAAATCTTGTTAGGAAATCCCAAAAGGTGACTCACCAAAGACAACCACAGCCATTAGCTGGAGAACTCCATGTCGCATCTGACCAAAGTTGAGCAGAAGACTCGCCAGTTGAGCGGCCAGCAAGGCGTAGACTCCGCCACTGGCACCCACCAGATAGACCTCCGAGTCCACCACCGAAGTTCCCAAGGATCCCGCCAGAACTCCGGCCGTGTAAATCACTCCCGTCCTCACAGATCCATGAACCAACTCCAGAGGCACTCCAAAAAGCAGCTGGGTGAGCACATTGTAGCCCAGGTGAAGCCAGCTGGCGTGGAGCAGGGCATAGCTGAGGAATCTCCAGAGCTGCAGGCGCTGGTCAGGACGATACACCAGCACAGAATCCTCCAGGGGATCATTACCCACACAAAGAAAGACAAGTATCTGTGGGTTTAAGGAGAAGTTTTTATGAATTTCCCTATCAAAAAGATAAACTTAGCCCTTTATCACCCTGCAAATTAAGTTTTAACAACCTATTTCATAAATCTCTTTTATCCCGAACTAGTTCGGAACCACTCCAAGAGCATGGCTTTCGGGGAACCCCATCCCCACTTCAGGGAAAAAGAGAGAGAGGGAAGCAATAAAATCATCAAACCCACAGCCCAGCCCAGACAGCTTTTCCAGGGAAGGGGTGGCCTAAGCAACCCCCAAAGGCGCAGACTGCCAGCAGACAGCGACGAGACGTCGCCATCAATTCCCCCCCTAGCCCAAGGGCTTCCTTTCCTCCCTGTTTCCCTATATACATACATATATATACCCCATTATTCCTCCTCGATTCCTGTGGCCTGGCGGCGTCCAGTCTGTGTGGTGAGTGCAAAAAGCCAGACGCGGAAAACAAATCGTAGACGTGTTGGATTTTTCGCACGCACTCTGTATCCCTTCTGCTAGGAAAGCCCCCCTCTGCCCCCTCTGCCCGCTCTTTGCTTCTCGTATATCCTTTAACCGGAAGCCAACTTCCATTTACAAATGCATGGGGCTGGGGCAAGCAGCTAAGTTGTATTCGGAGAGTGTGTGTGGCCCTGTCGGCAATTTGTTTGCCTCAAAAGTCAATTGCTCGCCCAGATCTCCGATGTGTGGGAGGAATGGAAGGAGTTGTTGGGGTCTTTCTTCTGAGAGGTCGCTGGTTGGGGCTGAAATATGATACAGCATCTTTGTTATGGCCAAACAAACAACCCTCTTCGTTGGCCATCTCGTTTAATTTGAAATACAAAACGCGCTTCAGACGTGACTGCTGGCCATTCTGGCTCTCAATTCTGGGATGTGGGGTTACAGTAATGAAAAGTGGACTGAAGTTGCATTACAAAAACCTACCTACAGGTTGATTTGCATCTTTAATCTTTAAATTAAATCATAAATGAAGTTAAAGAATTAAAAGTTAAGCTTTTATGGGATTTTCAAGGCTGAAAGTAATTCAAAAACTTCGGGTAAAGCATTAAGAAACTCCTAAACTCCCTTCGTGGCTTACCCTCATCCTTGGAAAAGTAATAAAAAAGTAAATTCCAAAGATTGCCGACTTATCCTATCATAAGTAATGGCCGAGACAGCCATCAGACACAAAGGCCAGGGGTTAGATCTGAGCCCGATTCAATATGTTGGCCATCCTAAGGGTTGCAGTGCAATTTGTGTAAGCCAACAATTAAACCGAGCCAGAATGTGGCCAGAATGTTGTGCTTTTATATGCGATGTCATGGCAACTTCAACCCACCCACTTGGGGGCGGCCACCCCCAAATGTGGCTTTTATGGCCCTCAATCAACCCTCGAGAGGGTAATCGCATTAAAAAGCGGTCACATTTGTTGCCCAACGTGGGGCTACTCACCTCCAAGAGCGAGGCCACGATAATGAAAAAGGGCGAAGTCCACTTGGAAGTCGTGGCAGCCCCCTCAAGATGCTTCGCCTTGTGATTCCCCCAGTCCGGGGAGACACACTTGGATGCTGAGGCTGCTGCTAAGGATGCCCGCTGCACTGGCTGCACCGCCATCAGCTGGTCACAGCAGACGCCCAGCACCAGTCCGGATTTCGACGAGGAGCCGGACGGAGCTGGCGGCATTTGCAGAACGGTACTGGGCGGCATCTCCTCCTCCTCCTCCTCCTCCTCCACCTCCTGCTCGCACTCTCGGCTGAGCGGTCTATTTTTGGGGCGTCTGCCTTGTGACGGTGCCCCACTTAGCAGGAGCAGCTGAGGCGGCTTCTGTCATGGTGAGATGAGCGGAATGCTGTCTGGCCCCGGCGGCGGCCTTCTGGAAGGAAAAGGGAAAAACTGCACTTAGAGAAATGGCGAATTTTTGAAAGATAAGTTAATGTACCTTACAGATATCAAAAGAGAATATCAAAATTTATAAATTGAAAACCTTAAGGTCAAAAGATAAATCACACCTCTACTAGCCACACTTTCTCGCAGTGTAGAAGGGGATTACGCGGTGCTGACTATGGCCAAATTAGCTCAAGGTTGTCTCTTTCTGCGACTGTCTCCGGCTTTGACGACAACTGCAGCGCAATTTCTCCCCGACGCGTCTCGATTTGGCAGACGACGACATTCGACATCGCCAGAGGCGCCATCATTCAGGTCTATATCCCCCGGGCCGTCCTCCTTGCTCCCCCTTTTAATGGCCCTAGACGGCCATAAAAGAGTCAAGAATTTATTTCTTTTTCTGCACTCGCAAGAAATTTATTTCCGCTGCGGCAGCACCAAAGAAAAGAAGGCCAAAATGCAACCCCGAAAGTGCTCAAACTTGAGATTAAGACGGAATTCCGAATTCTAGCCCGGAGGAAGCAGTCAAAAGATGGCCGAAAGGGGGCCAAGGGGCTTTCCGAGGATATAAAGCTATGATCATAAATCCACGAATTAAATGTTGCATAAAAAAGTAATGCATGGTGGAAACCAATAGACTTGGCCATCTATCATAGATACTGTATGACTTTCCACGGAAAAACTACTCACTTTGTCTTGTAAGCCAGAAAAATCTTCATAAGTAGAACAAACTGTTTAATCCACATTGATCTAGTTATAAAACATTAACCAGATAGGTTCTCTGAGTTCATTTAAGTTACAAATGCTAACTCCCTAAAGGACTTTCAAGGATTAATGCCATTTTATGGGTTCCTTGTCCCTAGTAGACAGCAATAACTCGTCCTCTGACTAATCTGAAAGAAACTGTGAGCTTCTGCCGGAGGGTTAACTACTTTATGTGCATGTTTTGGTTTTGGCTAGTTTATGTTTTTGGTTTATTTTGGCCTCCAGACGGCCTCCAGTGCTGTGGTCCCATGGCGTGTCCTGTTCCTTTCTGGCGTGTCCTGTTCTGTTGTGGTGCGCTGCAGTTGCTCTTGGTAATGAGTTTTAATGGTGATTACCTTTGGCCAAAAAACAACCGGGATAGTGGAAGGTCCTGTCCTGTTGTCCTGCCCTCTCCTGTTATGTATATGTTTCTGTTTCGGTTTCTGTTTCTCTTTCTGTTTCCCAAAAACTTGTTTCCCAGACGGAAGTGTTGCTCTTGGTCTTCCCCTTAATGATCCTGGCAACAACAACTGGCAAACCGGTTAATGGATCCGAAAATGGGGACCAAAGGGGCAGGCAGGCAGGCGGGCAGGCGCATGCCAAAAACTGTAAAAATATCGACAGGTGTATCCTTAATGTCCTTAAACATCGATTCCTCGTAGCTTCGGCCGCTCGTTCAACTTGGTCTGCCGCTTTTTCAGCCGTTCTCGGTTGTCGGTTGTTGGTTGTCCTTGGCACGCAACTTGTTCGTGTGCAGGACACTGAAACGCACAATATCCTTGAAACAAACATCGAACTTCCTCTGTGCCGGTGCTTTGGATCCCCATCCTCGACCAGTACTCCCTTTTTTTACCCTCTTCTGGGGCCCTGTGTTTGCCTTGCTGCTTGGCTCATTTGGCAAAGGCAAAAATCGAAGTTCAACCCGCCGTTGAAGTTGATTATGCAAGCCAACCTCCCTCCACTCCTGCCCCACGGTACACAGAAAATAAAGTATTAATGGGTTGGTTGTTTTACAAGTTTATTACCAGCTTAATATGCAGTATATAAGAGCCATTATGTATAGTTTTAGGTAAGAGAAATAGCATTTCTTTACCTTTAAAACTTTCAGCTTTTGTTTGCCCAAAAGTGGGTGGTAATTGGTTTATTCACTCAATGTTCTTCCAGTGCTCCTGCTCCTTGAGCTGCTGCTCTAGATTTCTTTAGTCGACCGCATTCTGTGTTTGCATTGGGCAAACATTTCATTTACATAATGCTGACTATTTGTGTTTGCCCCCCCAAGTACTTTCCTTAAGTTATCAAATATGTGAGCGTAGCCCCAACCGTTTTTTAGGTATTTTCTCATATTGATTTATGCGGTTCAATGGGCTGGCCAAATTGGCTCGCAACACATTCGAAACTATTTCATAATTCTTGGGTGGAGATTTTCTTCCTGGGTAAATAAAATGTTTAGTTTTGCAGTTGCAAGTTGGCAGTTGGCAGTTGGCAGTTGGCGAGCGAAAGGGCGAGAGACAAAAACAAATTTAATTACTGAAGCCGCAGGGTGCAATGGCCAAAAGAAATAGTGATGGAGAAATGTACGGGAAAATACATAATTACAACGCGGCTTAAATGCCTTTGGGTCGAGAGCAAAAGTTATGGAAAACGGGTTGGCAGCTCCCTCGACGTACAGCCAGTGGGCGGGTCGAAAAAGTGAAAGAATAACGAAGAAAGTTACGTTAACAAAACGCAACAACAAATGAACTGCTAGCCGTAGCAGCAGCAACAACAACAACAACAACACGATGAACATGAACTACCAACAATGACGAGAAAATTATTATAAAACTATAATTGAAAAATGTTTACCAGGTGGGTGGCTCGCTCGTCCGTCGGACGATGGTGGGATCAAAGAAAAAGTTATGCGAGCTTACACAGAAGAAATGGATATCCACACTACTCGGCAATATTTTATCTATTTTTGTAGGATTATTTTATGATCAATACTTTGCCCCAGGACTTATAGTAAGCTAAAAAAAGGATCGGGGCCAGCAGTTAATGAAAAACTTGACTTGAGTATGGGCCTAATAAGTCAAGCAGTGAGCCTATAATCTGAATTCTTATAAAAGAATTAAGTCTTAAACTGTTACAAACCAACTTTAACCTTTGATAAATTTCACATATCAACCCCTCGTACAGTGGATAAAAAAGTGCTTCAAAGGTCACCCTTGAGAGCTTTCACTGTAGCCAAACTATGAGAAAGGTTTTCACTTTTTTATAATGTTTTCAAAGGTTTCTTTTCGCATTTTTGTATGAGACGATAATGAAGCGTTATGAAAGATGTACATGGAAAGCCAAGTGAGAGGGGGGCGGAGGGAGTGTATCTAAGTTAGTGGAAAGGGGCGGCAAGGAGGCTTTGACGCCCAAAGTCTTAGTTGGTTTCACAATAAAATTCCGACAATTGAAGCGAATGCGATTAAAAGTCGCGCACGCCATCACAGAAGAAATGCGAAGGGGGCGGGGCTGGGGAAAAGTGAGAGGGGGCTACGCGGAGGGTGCAAGTGGAGCATCGCGATAGCCGGCGACTTGAAATTCTCAAGCTGAGAAACTGAGAAAACCAAGAAACAGCGGCCCACGCAGGCTTCAAAGTTCATTTCCATTCGGGTTGCATGTCAAGCTGCAGTGGCTAAGGAGTGAGGAGAGGCGAATGTGGGAAGCAGGCTGGCCCTGTCCCACTCCATCCAATACCCTTCTCGCTTCCTCGCACTCCAATAGATGGTCTTTCTCTTTGCTTTCAATTTAATTGTAATTTCTTTTGTGTTTATTGCGTTTTTGTGTGCCTGCTGCTTACGTTTTAATTTCATTAACTTGTGTTTACTGTGTGAAACACTTGCCCTTACTCGGCCCCCTTTCCCCCGTTGGACCGCCTCTGGGCCATAAAACGCTCAACATAAAACTTAAGCCACAAGAGCTTGCTCCGTTTCTGTATTGTTGTTTGCACAATTTCAACAGAAGAATGGGGCAGAAGCTGCTCTTGATGTCGAGTTGAGATTTCGGAGATTTAGAACGGCCAACAGAACCGAATTTCCAAGCTTCCCAAATCGTTGGTGGTCTAAACGTCAAACAGAGCCATGGTTAGATTGGAAAGTATGGAAATAAAACTGAGAAGCTGCAAATAAATTTAAAATGTAGCAAACAGACATTAAAAAAAATAAGATCTGCCATATTTCCCATACCGGGAATTGAACCCGGGCCTTCCGGGTGAGAGCCGGATATCCTAACCACTAGACAATATGGGACTTGGATATGATTTTCATAAAGATGACTAAGAATTATTGTATTACCTATTAATAGATAAGAAACCATAGTCTTCAAAATTTTACTTTTTTGATATTAACAAAAACCTGTTTTTCAAAATATATAGCAAATGAAAAAAACCAAAAAAATAATCTCGAACCATATTTCCCATACCGGGAATTGAACCCGGGCCTTCCGGGTGAGAGCCGGATATCCTAACCACTAGACAATATGGGAGTTGGAACCATTCATGAAAAAGATGATCAAGAATTTTGGTATTACCTATTTATAGATAAAAATATTAAAATAATTTCCTGTTTTTATAAGTAACAAATGAGTATGAAGAACTTTAAACTCAACGCCCTTTTACTTTTACATTTAAATAACCTGATTTAAAGAAACTTTTTTGATATTTTAAAATGTTAAAATATATTTTGCATAAATCGCAAAAAGAAAAAAAACTGAACCATATTTCCCATACCGGGAATTGAACCCGGGCCTTCCGGGTGAGAGCCGGATATCCTAACCACTAGACAATATGGGATATGACGACGTGGCGCTCCAAACGCCAACTTAAGACGAGCGCCAAGCAAGATCGTTTTTCGCTCGCTACTTGTGCGTTTGCTTTTGTTTTTGGAGAATCAGTTTGATCGACGTTTAAATATAGCCACTGAATCACGGACCGGTGAGCAGAAAATCCAAACACGATGACGAATGTAAATTACCTATGGTTTGGATCGGATCGGATTGAAAGGGAATGCAAAACAATGGCATATTCTTGTAATTCTGCCAGTGGAATCTGTGGAAAACCGCAAGTTTCCCTCCCTTTTGCTTTACCCCTTTGCATTTCTTGGCTCAGTCCGTCTCCCTGCTTAAGTATTTATGTCTTTTCGTATATTTCTACGACTTCGCGTCAATGCACA